TGGTAAGGAAACTCTTTCACTAAGTAGATTTTAAGTAGATAGCAATTGTGATATTTGCAGTTCTCAAAGTCATTAGTGGAGCATGCGTAGTTAACCGGCACACTAACATTGACTTATGAGAAATGGCAAAAGGTCTAAACAATTTAGACTATGATTACGGCATCCATTTTCATAATTCTGAAATTTTTTAGACACACTTGTGAGCTATCTAAGAGAGGTGTATGTTTTTTATAAAGTCTTATCAAGGCAATCTAGTATCAGAAATCTGAACTTTGGTAAGAAAGTCAATAAAGTATTGATTTCTAGAAGTCCAGTTGATTTCTGGGTACATGTCAAAGCTAGTGGGAGCATAAGTGTTATGCTAATAATCATCAGGTTAGTGGGAGCATGATAATTATGATAAAGATTGCAAGTTAGCAATGTTAATTATAGAAAACAAAGTTTCAATTGGGAAAGAGTTGTTTTGCTATAACTAAGGGAGAGGAAATTATAGTTCATCTCAAATCAAAAATCTCAGATTAAGGTTTTAATCCTATTTAGTCAAGGAAATATATATGAATTTCATGTTGGAATGTCTCAACATAAGGAAATTCTGTATATGGGTCCATTATTTCCGTTCTAAAATTCGATTATGATTACGGCATCCCTTTTCATAATCTGAATTATGAGAACTTGGCAAATTGAAATGGTAATAGTATAGCAAACGACTGGTTTAGTCTTTATGTGAGACATCATGAATCGTGTCCCATATGCTTCGGATATAGAATCGATTACATGTGCTATATTCATCCTTTCTAAAATTTTCCAAATGCCTGCGGCATTAAGAAGGGAAACGGTTTAGAACTGGATATGACTAATAGGATTAAACAATTGTCGAGGACAATCTAAGGTTTAATAAAGAATGCGTGCTCAAGGACAGTTGGAAGTATAGTGATAATTCTGGAAGGACCATATTGACATAATCTGTAAGGAGGTAGCTCTTGTTCAGAAGTGACAGTCAAAATGGAATCTGGAAATGTTTCAAAGTTAGAATTTTTCAATCTGTTTAAGATTAGGAAACTTAATGCAAGAAGGATGTTTCTAAGGAGCTGATCTCCTTGGAATGCTCTGTAATGGTTGTTGTCAAGTCTTTTTGACTTCGTGTATAATCATTACAAGAGGATCAATGCATATAAGTTTAGAATCTAACAGATTTCAGTAAATCGCATGAATTTGGAATTCTTGCATTTGCAGTAAGGATTTGGGACTGTGAAAAGAGGATCATTGGAGTTATGTTCAATAGATCTAGTTCAGAAAGTAAAAGATCATAGACAAACAAAGTATGCATACTTGGTGTATGGCATGACTAGTGTTTAGAAAACATAGTGTACATGTTTGGAGCATAGGACAACTATTGTTTTAAATTCAAGAATAAAGTTGATAGCTGAAACAGTATACAATGAATAATGTGTAATCATATGGTGATAAATAAAAGGTGTTTTATTTATGTTCAATTAGTCAGTCATCATGAATCGGAAATCAGGAAACAACAAATGGACAGAGAGAATGACTATAATCCATGTCTCAGTCTATATGATATCTAGAATGGAGGAATATATGATCCCTTATCTAATAGACAAGTTCGTTGACAAGATCAGAGTTCGACAGCGGCTTTAAGAGCTACGATTGCCAGGTAGGTTTTGAAGCCATACTCAATAATAGTTTTAGACTTATCCAAATGGGAGATTGTTGGATTAATGTCTAAGTCCATAACTATATTTGGTATGTACTTGACCCGACCCGGCATGGTCAATTTGGGTTGCACTTCACCAACACAATTTATATGGATAGTCTTTTGAGAATAGTATATTTATGATTAATATTAATATATTATAAGTTCTAATATATTAATATGGAATCATATTATTTAATTAGTATTGATCAAGAATTAATTTAGAATTAATTAAGTGATCAAAAATGAACTAATTAAATATGGACTCTTATATATATATATATATATATATATATATATATATATATATATATATATATATATATATATATATATATGGAATGGGCCAAGTTCATTTAGGTTGGGCTAAGCTTTCATGGATAGTCCATGGAGTGTTTAACCCATGGATCATATGAAATGAAAGGTCATGGGTTTAACCCTAGTCTCCATACTATATAAAGATGTCATTGGTTGGTGACATTGGCACTAGTGTGGGTACACTATGAAGGGCTATCCGATTTCACTAGTGAGAACCAAGTATCCATATTCTCTAAAGTCTTCCAAGGTGTTTTGGTGATATGTGATTCTACTTGAGGCTTCCACACTATTAGGGCTAAGCTCTTAAAGCTTGAAGACATCAAGCTACATCAAAAGGTATGTCATCTAACTAGTACTTTGTAGTATGAGATCTTCATAATATCCTAGTTAGGATTAAAGCCTTGGAAAGTTCTTATTTGCATGTATAATAGAGAAAACATAGATCCAAGGTTTATAGGATTGCATGTACACCATAGGAGTGTTAGAATGCTCAAAACCCAACAAAAGTGATAACGTATGGAGTCATTGTACAACCCTGTTTTGTTGATGATTCCGAGACGTAATCATCCTAAGGGGGAGATAATTGTAACGCCCGTAGATCCGGGCTAGTCAATTTAAAGACAATAGGCATCAAAAAAGAGTTTTTGATGGAAGATTATTTAGAAGGAATAATCTTAACCAGGATGTAGAATATGTCTCAAGGTTTCCGTACATATAAAGAACGCCGAAATCCGAGTTATAACGAAGAAGTTATGGCTCGTCGAAGTTTTACAGCAAAACCGGCACGGCACCAGGAGACGTAAATAGTGAATTTACGATAGAGGAATTTTTAGCCTTAGTGATCTAAACCAAAGCTGTAGTATATGTTAAGCCGAGAACACCCATAAAAAGAACGCCCAAATCTGACTTCATATGAGGAAGTTATGATTTTTTTAAGGTTCGGCTTAGCAGTGCACGGCCCGAAACTCGAATTTTAGTTTGAGCGGTTTTTAGCTTACGCGACCTAAATGAGAGTTTAATATTTCATTAATAGGAACTCAACGGTAAAAGGAAAGACGAGAACGGAGTCCGTATGAAGGAGTTACGAATTCTTCGCTACCATTTAACAGTCTAAACTCCTCCTATGGTTAAATTTAAGATCGTTGGAGAATTAGCCGATGGAGTCTAAATTAAAGTTGTAGATCTTGTTTTTACCTATGTGTGGATATAAATAATGTTGAAAATGGAGCTCGTATGCAAAAGTTACGGGGTTTAGAAGTCAGTAGGGTGCTGTTGCAAAAGGGGTGACGTGGTTGAATATGAGCCAAGGCTTTCTCCCCAAGGATAGCCACCAAAAGGTGACATGTGGCATGGAATCGACGAGTAGGAGGACCTAATCAATGAGTAGAGCTATTTTCCAGCCTATAAATAGAGGTGTCGGGTTCCCTCATTCTTCACACCTTCCCAAACTATTCTTTCTCTCTCTAGACTCTCTCTCTCTCTCTCTCTAGCCCCCTAACCCCCCCTAAAAGCCTAGGTAAACCCCCTAGCACCCGAAGGAAGCCACGTGGCTCCCGAAGGCCCAAGAAAAGAGCCTTTTGGCTGGGGAATGCTACTCCGGCGAAGCCCGGTTTTCGAGAAAACCCATTGTAAGTAAGCTATGCCTATCCAATCTTTAGTATAGCTTATGTTTCAATATAGTAATGGTATTAGGACCTTATAAGGAGTATTTGAGCTATTATTATGGGTTATATAATTATTGTTTAACGCTTATATAATAGTAATAATAGCTAGACTATTAAATTAGTCTCGTCAAACGTTAGACTAAACTCTAATGGTAATGATACTAGGTTTCGTCAAGGGATAATTGTTTTAAGAGTAACAAAGTGATGTTCGAGTGCCGATCCACCACCTTACCAGGTGAGTACATAGTCTCTTTCATCTTACACATAGATATGAAGTATTTTAATATAAATTACGTGCTATTTGTGCATATTGTCTGAATACTTGTTGTCTAGGTTGGATGAACGATTTTATACATGTTTTAAATGATTTAAACTGTATATGTATTTTATATCTACAATAATGTTAGGGTAAAACATGTGTAGATGTAATGAATAGAGTATGAGTTGGATGATGAGTTGAGAGGTCAAATAGGTGGACGATGTGAGAAGCCTTTTTCCCAAATGATGGCCCCGTAACTCAGCATAGTATGGATGACAACCACGGACTATTCTAGATAGTCCAGTGGAAGACTAGTAGGCTCGCAACCTGTAGGTGTTATGAACGATGTGTTCACCCAGTGTACTCTAAACCTTGGCAACCATGCAGACTTGGTGCCTAAACCTTGGCGAACATGCAGACTTGGGAGCTGTTTGTTTTTTCGAAGCGAAAATTCATGAAGTCTGCAGACTACCTCTGCAATCCTCTGTAGCAGAAGAGGTGGAACAAACGGCTGCAGCCTATAATAAGAAGCATGTTTGTTTTTTAACATCTGCAGACTGCTGCGATAAACTAAAATTTAAATAAACTAATTTTATAAACTGAAATAATTCTCAACATTGAAATTTAATAATTCTAGTCTTAAAACATTGAAATAATAATAACAATAACATTTAAAAAACAAAAATATATAACTTTTAAAAAAAAAAAACTTAAAAAAATATAAAAGAAGCTAATAGTTTTATTCTAGAAAAAAAACTAATTTAAAAAAAAGCATTAAAAAAGAAAATAATAAAAAATTTAAGAAAGTATTGCAAACGTTGTCTACAAAGTTCGTAAAAAATTACACACGTTAAAAACAATGTAACTGAAATTGAAAATATTATTAATAAAACGGTAAAAAAAAAAAAAAACAAATTAAAAAACTCGTCGAAATTATAAAAATAAATTGTATCACATCCGTAAATAAAAATTTAAGAAAATCAAAGTTTAAAAAAAAGAAATTAAAAAAAAAGTTATACAAAAATTCTTAAAAACACACTTAGAAAAAATGAAAGCTGAAGAGGTTATAAGAGGCAAGTCAAGTGCTGCGCCACGCAGCACACGCGCAGAGGTTTTGTAGTCTGAAGTCTTCCAAAAAACAAACTGCTGCGAGAGGGAAAGTGTTGCGCGTGTGCTGCGCCGCACAGCAATAAATGGTTTGAAGAGGTTTTTATAGAAATACAAACAACACCTTGATGCCTAAACCCTGGCGACTATGTAGACTTAGGTTGTGTTTGTTTTTTTTTAAAAAAACTCTTCTAACCTCTTAGTGCTGCGTGGCGCAGCACACACGCAACACTTTTAGGTTCGCAGCAATTTGTTTTTCTGCAGACTTCGGGCTTAAAAACCTCTTCCCCACACAGCACTGGACTTACCTCTTCTAACTACTTCTAACCTCATCTAAAAAACACTCTATGCCCTAAACAAAAAAAAAAAACGTCGCTGCCTTGTTCTTTCTCCTTCTTCTTCTCGGCAGCCAACTATCAATCTGGTCCGACTTGACTCCAGCCTCCGCTGCCACCCATCGCCGGTCGCCTTCGTCGTTCCCCTCTGCAACGTCCATCGCCTACGCCGCTTGCTGCTGCCCTCGATCTTCACAGGTAATTTTTTTTCTGATTTCTTTGAGCACCGATTCAATGAAATTGAGTACAAATTCTGTGATTTCTTATGCATTTGAGTACCGATTCTTTGAATGAATCAAACATAGGAATGTTAAGTGGGAATGGAATCTCAAATTCGAATACCATTGTATAAAGTATGCATAAAAGTAGGAAAAGAGTATGGTGATTGTAATTTTTCTTCATACCCTAGTTTTTGCATGACTGATAGCTGCTTCAGAATATATTCACATGACTGATCAATAAAATTATAACAAGATAACAGATTCAATCCAGCAATGAAGTCTTCAGTCTGTATAAAGCCTCATATGAAACAGAACTTCAGTTAGAGTTTATCATAAGAATGAAATCACAAACAAACACATGAATGAACAAAAGCAAAAAGGAAAAGAAAGCATGTGGCTTTACAATATTGCAAATATATGATTATATTATAAATTATAAGGCTTTTGTCTCCCTCTCTGAAGCAAATAAAAGGGAGATTTATATCATTATAAAATTTACAAAAAAAAGCTATCCATTCCCTCCCTTTTTCTCCTAAATTGAAAGAGGAAAACACTTTTTTAGGTGTAACAATACTAAAGTAGTTAAAGCCTATCATTTGGTCCCATAAAACCAATTTCAAGAACAAGGTGTAAGAGTTTATGCATCATGTTGTAGCATTTTCTCAACATGATAATAAAAAAGTTTATTAAATAAACAGATTACTTTATATTTTTTATTAGCTACAACTTGAAAACAGAAAACTGCTTTGTATAATGTGAACTACAATCCCTAATTTCTCAATTTATCATCTGGAAATTATAATATTCAAGCTCAATTATTTTTTATTTTATTTTTTTTTTAGGACCAATTTTCTGATTTCTTGCATGCCCTCGGTTTCTAGATCAGTTATTATTATTTTTTTTTTTTTTTGATTTCTTATTGATTTGACTAACGATTTTATGAAATTGAGTACAAATTCTGTGATTTCTTATGCATTTGAGTACCGATTCTTTGCATTTGAGGACCAATTTTCTGATTTCTTGCATGCCCTCGGTTTCAAGATCAGTTATTTTTTTTTTTTTTTGTTTTTTTTTTCTGATTTCTTATTGAGTAACAATTGTTGCTGATTTCTTATTTGAGTAACGATTGTATGAAATTGAGTACAAATTCTGTGATTTCTTATGCATTTGAGTACCAATTGTATGAATTTGAGTACCAATGTTTTGATTTGAGTTAGGATTTTGTTGCTGGGATGTTACAACCTTTGTTAAAATCTTTGTTGAATGTAAACTTTATGATATATTGTTCTTTAAACAGATTTTATGCTAAAATTTATATTTGTTGAATGTTGAATGTTGATTTATGTTGATATCATAAACTTATATGTAAGTTTCCATGTTGAAATCATAATCTTTGCTTAATTGTTTTTTTTTGTTTATTCATGATGTATTGTTGTTGAATATCCTAAACTTATTTGTTGATTATGTTGGAATATGATTAATCTTTGTAGCTAAAGTATGTATTCTATATTTTTTTTTTTTGTTATTAGCAATGGGAGATAAACATACATGGACCAATGAGCAAACAAAATGCTTATTGCAAACTTGTATTGAAGAAGTGCAAACCATGGGTAGAAAAGGTTTGAGTTTGCACAAACAATCATGGCACAAGTTAGGAACAACTATTAAGGAAAAGTATGGCGTGGATTTGAATCAACGACAATTAAAAAACACCTATGATAACCTTAAAGCCAAATACACAGGATGGTTATACTTAAAAAACAAAACTGGAAACCTTTACAACCCACAAACAAATACTTTTAACTTAACAAATGAGGAGTGGGAGGACTTTAAAAAGGTATACATATATACATATATACATATATATATATATATATATATATACACACACACACACATATTTATTCTTATATTACTTTTGTTACATTGATTGCATTTAGGGACATCCGAAAGCCGCTTCTTTGAAAACCGTCCCATTATTGTTTCCAGAGCTTTGTGCAGAACTCTTTGATGGAAGCAGTGCATCTGGTAATCTCAGCTATGCCACATCCCAAACACCATCGGGATCATCTTCTTTCCATGGCGCACCATTACAGCTTTTGGACGCCCCTTCCATTAACATAGATGAAGATGATTTTTTTTCCAATCATACAAGTGAACATTTTACTCAGACTCCACCTTCTGCTGCTTCACCTTCTGCTGATTCACCTTATGCTGCTTCACCTTCTGGTAACCCCAACAAAAGGGCTAAACCTTCAACTCCTAGACCGCGAGCTCCCAGTGCCTCACCTGATCCACCTTCTTGTGCCTCGCCTAAAGCTTCTATTACTGCTGATGATTTAGCACTGGAGATGCGAAAAGCTCTACGCCATTTGACTCAAGGGCCAACAATTCCCCAGTGTTTAGAGAAGCTTGAGTTGCTCGAGTTAGACCCAATAGACCCTATACGATTTGCTGCGTATCACATTTTTGGAGGGACCATGAATATTAGAGAGATGTGGGTAAATTTGCCTAATGATCCACAAATATTAAGAGGATGGATCGAGATGACAGCTACAAGTTTAGGAGTTTTAAAGGATGGAAAGATTGTTCGTTAAGTTTATATGTTATTTGGTTATTTGCTACTTGGGATTTATGATATGTTTTGGTACTTGAATGTTATTTTGTTATTTGGTACTTGAATGTTATTTGGTTATTTGCTACTTGGGATTTATGATATGTTTTTTGGTACTTGAAATTTATGTTATATTTTTTTGGTACTTGAGATTTATATTATTATCTTATGTTATATTATTATCTTATGTTATTATTATTATCTTATGTTATTATCTTATGTTATATTATTATCTTATGTTATTATATGTTTTCTTGATTAATAGGTTTGTAATGGATCACGACAAAAAGATACTACTCATAATTCTTATGTACTTGTATGTCCGCTACTTTTGGAAGAGGGGTGTCAAACGAGTGCGGGACAACGATTTGGAAATGTCAGGACATGAATTTACGTTAGAGTTACTTCACCGTAATCCTCTACAATGTCTTGAAGTGTTACACATGTCTCGTGAATCATTTGTCCGAGTATGTGCTCATTTTAGAGTAAACTACACGTTAAAGGATAGCAAACATGTGTCGGTTGAGGAGAAGATGGCTATGTTTTTTATGATGATCGGTCATAACCAACGTTATGTGATTATCAAGCGGAGATTTCAACACTCAAAGCAAACAATTCATAAGTTTTTTCATGAAGTGTTGGCCAAAATGTTGCTTTTCGCACATGACATTATAGTACCAACATCTTTTAATCCGAATCCAAACATTCTGGGACATAATAGGAGGCTACGGCGGGTGTTCAAGGGAGCAGTTGGTGCACTTGATGGCACTTTGATACATGCTGTTGTCCCTGCAAACAAACAGGATTTATATAGAAGTAGGGGAAATGGCGATTGTTACCAAAACGTATTGGCAATATGTGACTTTAACATGATGTTTACGTTTGTTGTTGCCAGTTGAGAAGGGATAGCACACGATTCTAGAATTTTATCAGAAGCATTAGCAAATCCACATGCACCATTCCCGCTTCCACCTCCAGGTAAATTTATGGTTATTTAAATAGTTTTATCTTTATTTGAAAATAAATGACTTTTTTTTTACAGATAAATATTATCTATATGATGCCGCCTATGCAAACATTCGAGGTTTTATGGCACCGTACCGTAATGTTAGGTATTGGCTTGGAGATTTCCGTCGAAGACGTGCATTAACGAATAAAGAAAAATTTAACCATGGACACACAAAACTTCGGAATGTCATTGAGCGTGCTTTTGGTGTCTTGAAAGCACGATTCCCTATACTGAAGAGGATGGCACCATTCTCGTTGGTTACACAACAAAACATTACTCTAGCATGTTTTGCGCTTCATAATTTTATAAGAAGAGAGGGACTACGTGATGAGTTTTTTGCACGATATGATGAACCAAATGTCTCGGTTCGGAATAACAATGCGGTCGTTGATAATGATGAATATGAGATTCCAACACATGGTACTGCTGCGGACCATGAATATATGAGCCAGTTACGGGATGAAATTGCCGAACAATTGATGCAAAATATGGAATGAAAATTATTAAAGTTTGGTTGTATGAATTTTATTTAAAAATGTTATTGTAAGACTAATTTCGTTATTTGAATTTTATTTCAATGTTTTAAGACTACGATTATTAAATTTTTGGTATTAACAAACTATTTTCAGTTTATTAAATTACTTTATTTTAAATTTTTTAATATCTGCATACGTTAAGAAAACAAACATGCTTCTCATTACAGTCTGCAGCACTTTGGTCCACCTCTTCTGCTGCAGAGGTGGTCCGCAGACTTCAGACAGATTCACTTCGGAAAAACAAACAGCACCTTAGTGCCTATTGTGTTAACCTTGGCGATCATGCAGACTTGATGCCTAACCCCTGGTGACAATGCATACTTAGTGCCTGTTTTGTAAACTGTGGCAACGATGGACTTCGTGACGATTCCTTAGGATAATCCTTAGGAATAAATGAATGAGGAATAACTGATTCTTAGGGTAGATCCTTAAGAGTAAAGAAGATAATGGGGATCGGTAATTGGGTTGATTGTTTGATGTTTAAACATAATAATTATATTATTGTGGGTTGAAAACCCTATGTACTCACCAGGTTTCCCAACCTGAACCACTCAGTTTATTTATATCACAGGTGACGATGTGAAGTCACCTTACACTGAGAGATTAAGGAGATATAGATCACTAGTGATAATGAATGTAAGTTCTGTTTATGCTTGTGTTTTTGTATTGTCGATCACATCCCAAAAGTTTTAAAACGAATTAAAAATACTTTTCTTCAGAAATGCTTTGATAACATATTTATGATTTTTTATTGGGAACAAATTCTGCAACATTTTTATTAAAACAGGTACTCTGATTTTTCTAAAGCATAAACAAAATCGGTCTTTTCTGGCCGTGAAAATGGGGATGTCACAGTTGATATAAGAACATTAGTTTAAGCGAACTAGGAATAGGGATTTATTTCTAGACTTAAACTAAGAATGCTAAGCAATGATTGTGAGGAGTGTGTCTTAGGTAATACACCTGAACAGACACAAGCACTAGCTTATTTAGGGAAAATATCTAACATGTTTTTATGTGTTAAATGATTTATGATGCTTAATGTATAATCGGATATTTGGTTTGTTGCTGACTGGATCTAGAAACTTTATGTGTTCAAATTTCTAAACGTTTAATTATGGTATTAGAACTGGCATGTAACCTTTCGGAGTAATAGGGAGATTTACACATCGATCATAAATAAAGTCTTTCCTATCTTAATTCTCGCCAGTACACACCGAACATCCGACTTGGTGTATAGATCGACATGGTGAGCACTCAAAGCGGAATTAGAAGTGGAAACCCACAGCCCAAACCACAAGTGACTAAGAATGCACCAGAAGTAGCAGTTGTATCTGGGCTAATCACGATGGCAGGGGTACAGGCAATGGTGCGGATAATGCTAGATCAACAGATGGAAGAAACAAGGTGTTTACTTCAACAAAGTAAAAACAAACTTACTGTGCCAGTACACCAGACACCTACTCTTAAGGAACCAATCTGGGTTGAGGTTGGCAAGAAGAGGAAATTTGAGGGAACTTCAAGGTCCAACAAAACCAACATGTTCTCACAGTCTGGAGGATGAAGAGGTGAAGCAAAATGGTGTTACAAGTATGGAAGGAAACACAACGGGGGATGCCATAAGGAAGTGACCTGCTTCAAATGCGGGAATACTGGTCACTATGCCCCCAAGTGCTCAACCAAGGAGGAAGTTTGCCTTAAGTGTAGTGGAAAGGGACACTTCAAGAGAGATTGTACGATAAGGGATACAACGCCAAATGTACCGCTGAAGCACTATAAGGGATGCGACGAAGAAGTAACTTGTTACAGGTGTGGAAGAATCGGTCACTATTCCAAGGACTGTACATATAGGGATAAAGTATGTTATATGTGCAGAGACAAGGGGCACATGTCTAAGGACTGCCCAAAGAAAAATGAAGCAGCGAGACCGAATATGCCGCCAAAGCCGAAGGAAAGAGCATTCCAGAGGATCCTTGGCGAAGCTAGTGACAATTTAAGGTTTCAGGAGTGAATTCTTGATATCCAAAGATCTAGTTATGAAGTAGCTAAAGTATCGTAGGAGTAGCCTATTATATGCATAGTCTAGGGTGAACTTGACCACCTATGTAATTGTTTCAAGAAATTATATAAAAACCTTCATTTTGATTTCTGATGTGTAGAATGATTGTGTGATTTTATTACATGGTGACTTGGATACACTACAAGACAATACTTGGGACGAGTATGAGTAGGTGTGAAAGGTAGTAGATGCATATACTACCGGAAGCACAAGACTCACACTTGGATCAGGGAAAGTCACAAGGTTACCAAGAAGCTAGTAATTGATACCATTTTATCCAAGTATGCTATTACCATCGTTCCGGTAATGACTAAGAAGATTGTTGTTATTACGACCCTAGTTGTCATATCAAATTGAGTCCGACTATGATGAGTATGTTACGTCATTCAGAGCACCAAGTTCGATGTAGCATCTAACTTAAGCCAGAAGATTGAAGTGAGAGATAATCAAAGCGATTAATAGAAGTATCGCACTCGTTGTTAAAGAAGTTAGTACCTAGAAATGCTACATGTTAAAATGTGATTCTATCACACTAGAACATGAAGGAAGGTATATTCCATTCTGGAATTTGACTCTAAGAGACCTGAGTCTAAGCGTTGCGATACACAATGAGAGGTCATTGGAACATGATCCATCAACCTATTTTGGAAACCAAACAACTTATCTTAAGTTTGTTAGGGAGAAGAAGGAGTCTCCAGTAAGGATCGAGATTATGACTTGAAGGTCATAATTTGAAGTCTAACGTGTTATACGGAGCATGTGCAAGATCAATCACCGCTTGCAGTCAAGAAGACCAGGAGATTGATACGCATTCAAAGAAACATAGAAGTTAGGATTATTACCTAGGATGAAGAGATAATGTATGGAGTCATTGTACAACCCTATTTCGTTGATGATTCGGGGATGTAATCATCCTAAAGGGGAGATAATTGTAACTCCCGTAGATCCGGGCTAGTCAATTTAGAGACAATAGGCATCAAAAATGAGTTTTTGATGGAAGATTATTTAGAAGGAATTAACCAAGTTATAGAATATGTCTCAAGGGTTCTGTACATATAAAGAACGCCAAAATCCGAGTTATAACGAATAGGTTATGGCTCATCGAAGTTTTATGGCAAAATCGGCAGGGCACGGGGAGACGTAAATAGTGAATTTACGATGTGAGAAGCCTTTTTCCCAAATGATGTCCCTGTCATTCAGCAGAGTATGGATGACAACCACGGACTATTCTAGACAGTCCAATTGAACACTAGCAGGCTCGCAACCTGTAGGTGTTATGAACGATGTGTTAACCCAGTGTACTCTAAACCTTGGCAACCATGCAGACTTGGTGCCTAAACCTTGGCGATCATGCAGACTTGATGCCTAAACCCTAGCGACTATGTAGACTTAGTGCCCGTTGTGTAAACCTTGGCGATCATGAAGACTTGATGCCTAACCGCTGGCAACTATGCAGACTTAGTGCCTATTGTGTGAACCGTGGAAACGATGGACTTCGTGATGATTCCTTAGGATGATCCTTAGGAATAAATGAACAAGGAATATTTGATTCTTAGGGTAGATCCTTAAGAGTAAAGAAGATAATGGGGATGGGTAATTGGGTTGATTGTTTGATGTTTAAACATAATAATTATATTATTGTGGGTTGAAAACCCTATGTACTCACCAGGTTTCCCAAGCTGGTCCACTCAGTTTATTTATATCACAGGTGATGATGTGAAGTCACCTTACACTGAGAGATTAAGGATATATATATATATATATATATATATATATATATATATATATATATATATATATCACTAGTGATAATAAATGTAAGTTCTGTTTATGCTTGTGTTTCTGTATTGACAATGACATCCCAAATGTTTTAAAACGAATTAAAAATACTTTTCTTCAGAAAATGTTTTGATAACGTATTTATCATGTTTTACTGGGAACAAATTCCGCAACATTTTTATTAAAAGAGGTACTCTGATTTATATAAATCATAAACAAAATCGGTCTTATCTTGCCATGAAAATAGGGATGTCACAACATGTGCGCTTCTTTGAGAAGTAAGTTACGCACATCACCCACTCGTGGTACCCAAACTCTTCCTTGGAAGCACTTCAACCCATGACTATCCTTTTCCAATGATTGTATTACTCCAACTACTCCTTCACTTTTCCACTTCTCTTCCTTCGAGGCTTCCTCCTGACTCTTTCTCAAATCATCTAGTAAGCTGGTGGTTACCTTAATCTTCATCATTCGAATCTTAGGTGGTTCTCTTCTTTCCTTACGACTTAGTGCATCAGCTACAACATTTGCCTTCCCTAGATGGTACAATATCTCACAATCATAATCGTTTAATAGCTTCATCCACCGTTGTTGCCTCATGTTCAAATCCTTCTGATCAAACAAGTATTTCAGTCTCTTGTGATCAGTGAAGATCTGACACCTTGTCCCATACAAATAGTGTCTCCAAATATTTAAAGCGAACACTACTGTAGCCAACTCCATATCATGCGTTGGGTATTTACGCTTGTGAACCCTTAATTGTCGTGAGGCATAAACAATCACCTTACCATTTTGCATCAAAACACACCCCAAGACTAACTTAGATGCATCACTATAAACAACAAATCCATCATTGACTTCTAGTAAAGATAATACTGGTGCACTGCTAAGCTTTTCCTTTAAGACGTTAAAGGAATTATCTTGCTCTGGCTTTCATTCGAACTTCACATTTTTCCTTGTC